CCTGTTTCTATTTGAGTTTGACACCACTATGTTACATTATGGAATGCTAGCTATATTTGAAAATCTTATCATTCAATTATCATCAGTAGTGCAGTTAGGAGGTGCAATGCTTGGAGAGGCAGCCCCGGAGTCAGGAGGACCTGTATTTAAATTCAGCCTTAGAAACTTACTAGCCGAGTGAGCCTGGGCAAGTCATTTAACCCTGGTTGCCTCAGCTTCCACATCTATAAAATAAACTAAAGAAGTAAACGGCAAATTACTCCAGTATCTTTGCCAAGAAAACTTAAAATGCGGTGATGAAGAGTCAGACACAACTGAAGTGACTGAACAACAACAACAAATCTCATCAGTGTGGTCTCTTGTGTAGATAGGAATTTTCTATCATCTATTTCTTTTCATCCTATCTGATTCTAGTCCATGTACTATACCCCATGAGCTGGTGACCTTTTAAAATGATGGAATTTAGAGATCTTAGACACAGTCTAATCTTTTTTATTTTAAAGTTATGGAAATGGGCTGAGAGAGGGGAAGGGTCACACAAAGAGGAAGGGACAGGGCAGAGATTGAGGCCCAGATCCTCTGACTATAAACCTAGTATTCTTTGCCCAATAGCACAATCTCATAGTTTTCTTTTCTCTTGCAAGTCAAGGAATATTCATAGGCAATAACAAGAATAGTGCTTTATGTAATGCTTTAAGATTTGCAGTGTGCTATACCTATGTTTTCTCATTTTTTCTCACCAGAACCCTGAAAGACAGGTTCTATTCTTATCTCCATTTTAGAGATGAAGAAACTGAGGCAGGTGGAGGTTAGTGATTTGCCTAGGGTCACAGAGTTAGTGAGTATCTGAGTCAGGATTTGACCTCAAGTTTTCCTGGTTTCATTACTTTTACCGATGGTGGCTCCTAGATACTTACATATAGGCATTTATTAAGCACTATGTTCCCAGGACTGGGCTAGGCCCATGAAAAATACAGAGGACGAGAAAGCATAGTCTTCTTTCAAGAGAGTATAATTTAGTTAGAAAGACTAGATGTCATTTCTGAAGCATTATAGCATACAACCAACAGTTAGAAGATGTCATGTGGATTTTCAGAATTAGAGAATCTCAGAGAAGGCTGAGCTCATTGTGAGGTGATGCAATGATCATAGTGTTTCTTAAAGAATAGTTACCCTCCCAGCACTCACTCTTCTGGTGCCTGCTTCTTACTGAGAATTATTTAACACGGGTTCCAGTCATCTAATTGCTTGCTAAGTTGGAAAAGCTAATAGGTGACAGGATGGAGGAGTCACCACAAAGGAGAGGCAGCTTCCAGATGGTGGCTCTTTTGGGGGTAACCTGTAAACAGAGGAGCTGGGACTCCAGTCAGGAGGTAGATGACAAGAGGGTCATACCTTGGCATAATAATAGGATTAACTGAGTCAAGCAGAGAATCTCTGATTGCTTTAAGTGGAATGGGAGGGGTCATATCTGACCATTTACATAGTTACTAGATTGGTTAACTAGGATAATATTGGAGATATCATATGACAGAAAATCAGTAAAGGGTCCTATACTATCCTTATGGAGAAACTGAAAAGATGAGGACTAGATGATAATACAGTAAAGTGAATTTGGAACTGGTTAAATGAATAAGTGCTAACAATTAAAACTAACAAAAAATGGAATTAGCTGAATTTGTAGGTGGTGAGCACCCTGTCACTTGAGATATTCAAATGAAGGTAAGTGACCAATTGTCAGGGATGTTATACAGGGGACTTTTACATAGGTAAGAATGGGCCTAGAGATTTCGTCTAGCTAAGATTTTGTAATTTTGTAATTCTATGATTTCTCTAAATTGAGTCACAGATTATTCTCTCTAGCTAGCCAGGAGAAGATCTGTAATGACAGTAACAACTTGAATTTAAATCACAAATTGACCCTGGACATAAGACAGCAAAGTAGAACCCTGCCATCAAATGCACCTTGACACAAATGGAACTCTGCCCTGACTCCAACCCCACATTGAGCCCTAATGGCAAGCCCAGGTGTAAACTAACCTTGGTTTTATAATGTGATTGCCACTGATTGAACATCTAGCTGGACTCATACAATGTTGATTAATGTTTTAAAAAAATGAAAACTGGCTGCGGCCTTACGAGCCATCTAGTCTACCTCTCTCATTTTACAGATGTGGAAACAGACATTCAGCCAGGGATTGGTCAAAGCATTTTAAATATGGATCTCTTCAATGTCTCTCACAACTTCATGATGAATTTCATACCATTTTTGATATCCCATTTCTTATTGTTCTAAAGATCAGTTATTCTCTCCCAGCTTTCTATCATTCTCAAATTTGGTAAGCTACCATTTATGCTTTTATTTGCTATGCATTGATAAAAATGGTAAAAAGAATGAAGTGAAAGACCAAGAACTTCATAGAAAGTCACTATGGAGTGGAGTATTTTTTTTTATTTTGTTTTTAGTTCAGGTTTAAGATTTCCTTGGTATAGGAAACTCCAGGTGAGGTAGCCAGCTCTGTTAATGCATATAAAAGGCCTGCTCTGCAATTTGTTACCTTGGACAGTTGCCAAGGTAACTGAAAAGTTAAGTGATTTTCCCAGGATTTATTAGAGGTGAGACCCACTAAACTATGTTGCTTCTCATCTTGTACCTTAAAGGTGCTTGAAAAAAGATTTTGTGGCCAATAGATAAAACACTGGACCTGGGATAAGGAAGATTCTGAGTTCCAATCCTACCTTAGATACTTACTAGCTATATGACCCTGAGCAAGTCACTTAACCACTGTCTGACTCAGGTCCCTTTTCTTAAAATGAAGATGATAAAAGCACCTACCTTTCAGGGTTGCAGTGAGGATAAAATGAGATAACATGCCTAAAGCACTTTGCTAACTTTAAAACATTACAGAAATGCTAATTAGTAATATTACCTAATAATATGTAATAAATATGATCATTATTATTATAATCAGTATGTTTAGGAGATCTTGAAGACACCCTGATTTTCAAAGCTTAGACAGGACCTGGCTGAATAATGCAGGGAGTCAGAAGAGATCAAGCTGTAGCAACAAAGATGCTATAAAACATTGTTTTACAACATACATCCTGGGAAGTGGTCAACTCAAAAAACTATAGATAATGTAAGAGGCTTCTAGACATCATACCAAAATTCAACAAACACTTATTAAAGACCAATACTTAAATGCAAAGAATAATTGACAATTAGCACAGAGATATCTTGTGTTTTCTAGACCAAGAATACCAAATGATTCCATAAAGAACATTGAAATAAAGATTTTTATAGAGATGAGAAAGTAGGCATATGAAGTGATAGCTGTTGATGTCTTCTTGGACATGCTGTTCTTGGATAATTTTATTTTTTGTGATCCTTGCCATTCTTTTAGAATCTTACCCTCTTTAAAATCTCTTGAATATCAGTCCCTGAGTAACTTTGTAATTGTGTCACTTCCAGCTCAGAGTACCTCAGCATATATTTGGATAAGTCCATTCATACCACTCAACTTCATTTTCATGAATAACATTTCTAAGTCCTCATATAGCATCCTGGGCACTGAAGTGTTTCAGTTCAAATGTGGTGGGTATAGTGTTATCAATAAGATAAAAAGGTCGCTCTACAGATGATAGTAGATACGCTCCACTTCACATCTAATTTTTATCCTTTCAATCTTCTATAAATGCTTATAGGATGATGATGCTTAATTGGGTCTTTCATCAAACCTCTGTATGTTTGTTTTCCTCATTACTGCTTTTTACTCTTTTAAGAAGCAATATAGTCCTTAGTCTTCTGTCACCTTCCTCCATAATATTTTGTAAATGACTCTGTTGCCTACACTGGTTTTACCCATGATTATTGCAAAATGAACTGACCACATATCCCATGAACTGATGTTTCTTATTGCCCTTGGGTAGATGATGAAGCTGATTCAGTCAACTACTTTATTCACCATTTGGAGGAAAATTAGTGAGCTATCACTCAATTTAACTGAAAAAAATTTTATGTCTTATGGTTTGGTTTATAGAATGTTCTTGGATATATAGTCTAGTCTCTCTTGTAGTAAGTAAATTCATGGCTCATTAAATAAGCATCTCACTTTTAGAGTGCAGCATTTAAGTGAATGCTTGTAGATGGGTTGAAAATGTTGTTATTTTTAGCACTCTTAACATCAGTATTGACATTTTACTCAGGAGATCAAAATGTAGCCTTAATGACTGATGTCCAATAAAGTGTCTCTATGCATAAGTTAATAGTATCTTAGAAGATTCCTAAATTGATATAACTTAAATGATAATTTTATTTTGTGATCTTCTGATTAACAATGGAGACATAGGCTCAACAAAAACAATCGCTGATTCAATGTAGGATGCATCTTTCAAATGAAGGAGAAAGCCTTCCTCCATAGAAATATTGTCTAGATATCCTTGTTTGTGGATGACATTGTACTGATTAGATCGAGACTTCTCTTGGAGATTTGGACTCACTCACATTTGATCAGCCTAATAATCCATACAAGAAAAACAAAGTGAATGCGGAATGCATAATGCCCTAATCACAACACACACATAGGATAGACAATTTATTGAATTAGTCTATCAGTAAACATAGAATTTACTGTAATTGTGGATGGATAATAGCCTAGACCCAGAATTGGAAGAATCGAACCATCTAGATAACACTTAGGAACTCACTCAGCTCTTTCAATAGCTCCATGACACCAATTCTATCTATTTTATATCACTGTTTTCCTTTTCAGCCATTTTTCAGTCATGCCTGACTCTTCATAGAAAGCCACTAGGGAGTAGAGTATTTTTTTTTGAGGTATAGTATTTGTTTACTAAAAATAAAACAAAACAAAACACATAAGCAAATGTCCAAATCATACATGATACGTTAAAAGATAGAGCAATCAAGATAGCTTTGTCCATTGAGTCTCTGATTACTAGTATCATATAAGGCATCAAACAGGAAGATGTGTGCTCACTGAAAGTTTTGAGCATTGTCATTGGGCTGAGGTTCCAACACAGAGTCCATGGGACAATTCCCCTATGGATATTGAGATGCTCAAGATGCTCCTGTTGGCAGATGACATCGTACTGATTGAATCAACCATCCGAACATTGTTAAGGACTCCTAGATAAGAGACAAATTCACTCAAGAGATTTTAAGCTATAACACAGGAAAAACCTAGGTGGATGAACGTATGTAGTAACACATGTGATGAGATTCATACGAGAGGAACAGGCATGAATGTCTATATTGTTAGAAGCAGTCCTCAAATGAGGTCAGAGATCCCTTCATTTTCCACTTGAGTCTTGTATTGGAAAGTCAAATTTTCTATTCAGCTCTGGTCTTTTCATCAAGAATGCTTGAAAGTCCTCTATTTCACTGAATGACCATTTTTTCCCCTGAAGAATTATACTCAGTTTTGCTGGGTAGGTGATTCTTGGTTGTAATCCTATCTCCTTTGCTCTCTGGAATATTATATTCCATGCCCTGTGGTCCCTTAATGTAGAAGCAGCTAAATCTTGTGTTATCCTATTTGTGTTTCCACAATATTTGAATTATTTCTTTCTGGCTGCTTGCAATATTTTCTCCTTGACCTGGGAACTCTGGAATTTGGCTACAATATTCATAGTTTCCTTTGGGGATCTCTTTCAGGAGGAGATCGGTGGATTCTTTCAATTTCTATTTTGCCCTCTGGTTCTAAAACATCAGGGCAGTTTTCCTGGATAATTTCTTGAAAGATGATGTCTAGGCTCTTTTTTTGATCATGGCTTTCAGATAGTCCAATAATTTTTAAATTCTCTCTCCTGGATCTATTTTCCAGGTCAGTTCTTTTTCCAATGAGATATTTCACATTGTTTTCTAATTTTTCATTCTTTTGAATTTGTTTTACAGTGTCTTGATTTCTCATAAAGTCACTAGCTTCCAATTGCTCTATTCTAATTTTTAAGGAAGTATTTTCTTCCAATCTTTTGGACATCCTTTTCCATTTGTCCAATTTTGCTCTTTAGGGCATTCTTTTCTTCATTGGCTTTTTGGACCTCTTTTGCCATTTGGGTTAGGCTAATTTTTTAAGGTGTTATTTTCTTCAGTATTTTTTTGGGTCTCCTTTAGCAAGCTGTTAACTTGCTTTTCATGATTGTCTTGCATTGCTCTCATTTCTCTTCCCAGTTTTTCCTCTATTTCTCTTACTTGCTTCTCAAAATCCCTTTTGAGCTCTTCCAAGGCCTGGGACTGATTCATATTTTTCTTGGAAGTTTTGGATGTAGGAGCTTTGACTTTGTTTTCTTCTTCTGGTTGTATGTTTTGATCTTCTTTGTCACCAAAGTAAGATAATATAGTCTGACTTTTTTTGTGCTGCTTGCTCATGATCCCAACCAATTACTTGAGTTTTAAACTCTTTGTTAAGGCAAGAGTCTGTTTCCAATGTGGAGAATGTACTGTCCCAAGCTTCGGGGGTTTGTACAGCTGTTTTCAGAGGTACTTCTAGGGATCTGAAAAGCGTCAGTTCTTCCAAGGTGCTATGATAAGGGGTGAGGTGTTTTCTCTCCACTGCGGCAACAAGCTCCACCACGCCAGCACTCCTCCTCACCCCAGGACCGCCCCTCAGAACTGTGACCCAGATCCAAGCACAGGTAAAGCAAGAGATTCTTGCCTCAGCCCTGGCAAAGAGATCCTTGCAATCCCCTCCCCCCATCAGCCACTCGATTCCCCCTTAGTCTGTGGGCCGGAAGCTCAGAAGCCAGCTGCTGCCCTTGGGGCGGCTGAGATCTAGCTCCTCTCTCACCACAGTCACACTTTTCCCACTGACCTTCTAAGTTGTGTTTGGCGTCTGTGAGTTGAGAAGTCTGTAAATTGCCACAGCTGCCGGCGATTCAGTCCTCTGAGGCCTGCTCCAGGGTCACTGCAGCCTGTGCAACCACACCGAACTGTGCTCCTCTCCCAGCCTGGCACGATATACCTTTCAGATCAGCCATCCAGGTTGTCTTGGGCTGGAAATTTGTTTTACTCTGTTTTTTTGTGGGTTCTGCTGCTTTAGAATTTGTTTAGAGCCATTTTTTGTGGGTATTTGGAGGGGTTTGGGGGAGAGCTCTAGCAAGTCACTGCTTTCCCTCCGCCATCTTGGCTCTGCCCTGAGTAGAGTATTTTTTTATTTTGGTTTTAGTTCGGGTTTAAGATTTCCTTGATACAGGAAACTCCAGGTGAGGTAGCCAGCTCTATTAATGCATATAAAGGCCTACTCTGCAATTTGTTACCTTGGAGAGTTGCCAAGACAACTGAGAAGTTAAGTGGGCTTTTCTTAGCAAAGCTACAGGAGTGGCTTGCCATTTCTTTTTCCAGTTCATTTTACAGATAAAGAAACTGAGGCAATTAGGGTTAAGTGACTTGCCCAGGGTCATACAGCTAGTAAGTGAGGCCAGATTGGAACTCAGGAACATAAGTTCCTGACTCTAGGCCTGACACTCTATCCACTGTGCCACCTAGCTTCCCTAATATCTACAAATTTTACAGTACCACAATTTCAGAGGAATAAAAATTGCAGGGATCCCCAAAGCCAATGTAAAAAATGTTTAGTGGTTGTAAGTAGGCTTCAGCATATTCTCAACCTTGATTTATATATAAGATGATGTAATAAAAGACATCATCCATGGTTTCTATTATTCAGAAAGGGAGGTGGGCAAGTTATTTAGAATGAACAAAAGACAACAGCTTCGGCATTGCACTACTTTCTCCAAGATGCTAAATGTACCAGAAAAAAAAAAAACCCTCAGCATGTCAAGGGGATTCTCTTTAGAAAATATAGAGAAAGGCATAGACAGGAATCTCACAGGAAAAAAATAAGGATGGAATGCAATCTGCATTGGTGGAGGGAGGGATCACATCAATGCAAATATTCAGTCATCAAACATTAAATAAAACATTGTGCTAGGCTTTGGGAATGGAAACATAGAGAAGAATCTTTGCCCTCAAGGAGCTCATGGTCTACTAGGGAAGATAGTATATGGATTGTACACATAAAAGTTTAGTTCAAGGTCAAATATTATGAGACAAATGAAAGACAAGCAGAGTGCTCTAGGAAAATTTGAGGAGGGAAGACCACATCCAACCATTCATCTTTTATCCATTAATTAATCCATTCAACAATAAAACACAGTATCTGGTCTCATGGAGTTGACAGTCTTGTAGGGGTCCTTTGGATAATCTAGCATTCAGTCTTTGTTCTAAGTGAATCATGTCTCTGGAAGTAGTGTATGCATTATACATTAGATTCACTTGACAATCCAGAAATATGGCCTACTTATTATTTTGTACACATGATACTCCATCTATCTTTGCACTGACTGTTCATTTCCCACACCTAAACACCTCACACACCTTTCACCACCTAGAATGTACTTCCTCTTCACTTCTGTCTCTTGGAATCCTTTGTTTCCTTTATGATTTAATTTTGGGAATGGATTCTGGAAAGATGGCAGAATAGGTTAGAAATTTCCAGGCTCTCAAGATTTCCTCCACAAACAGAGAGAAAGTTACCACAAAATGAACATAGAACAGCCAAAATAAGGGGGTAAAGTAGCCATCCTCCTAAGGTGACTTGGGAGGACCTCAAAAAAGAGATGACTTCCAGGACTGAAGTTTAGCCTGAGTGAAGTGTAGACACTCCAGATCAACTTCACTGAATCAACAAATAGTGGGCCCTGGAGTATCAGTAAGCAGATTAGGGCTCAAGAAATTTTACCTTAAATTTCACCTCAGGAAATTTTACCTCACAGCCTCAAGAACTTTTCATTTCACAGACTTTCAACTAAGGAACAGCAGACAGCTGAATGGAGGAAGACTGAAGGATACCCCATACCCTCCTCCTCGACCCTCCCACCTAATCCCCATCTGTTTCCTAGTGGTGCTGACCAGATCCCAGGCTATGACTGTGGGCAAGGAGGAGTAAGAACATTCCTGGAGAGTGCAGTACCATAGGGAGCAAGAACGTTTTCAGGACAGCATTGCTTGAGACCTTAACTGTGGCTTAGGGCAAGAGAGGAGTACCTGAGGTTGAGCCCCAAGACAGAATTAAGAAAATAACAATAAGGAGGACCTAGGGCAACATTACCTACAACTTGGGATTAAAACTTGATTAATAATAAGCTGCTAAAAATAAAATGAAACAGAAGAAAAATGAATAAATAAAATAAAAAGAACCTGATCATAGATAGTTACTTTGGTGTAAAAGAAGATCTGGTTTCATATTTAGAGGAAGATAGTGAGGTTAAAAAAAATCCACACTACTCCAAAGAGTAATGTCAAATAATCACAAACCCAAAATAGTTCTTGGAAGAACTTAAAAGGGAATTTAAAAATCGAGTAAGAGAGCCTGAGGAAAAATTAGGAAAAAAAATAAAAGCAGTCTAAGAAAATTATTAAAAGAAAGGTAAGCAATTGGAAAAAGAGGTCCAACATCTTTTTTTTTCAGCCAAAGACAAGGTTTATTAGAACATTGATTGGGGGTGGGTGAGATTTAAAGAATCTGCCATATTGGCCAGACTCTTAAGGAATCTAAGCGTTTGTATCACTAATACAAGCGGGCCAGATCTTAAGAATCTGAGCACATTAATGGAGGCCAGATGGATCTTATATACAGAAAGACTGTGGGAGGGATCTAGGAGTGGACAAGTAGTCTGGGGTGACTGGAGGAGGGGTCTAAGGAGGATCTGGATGGGAGTGGTCAGTAAGCTGGGGTGACTCTGAGGTAACAGAATACCAGGGACCTGGACCATGTGGCCAAGGGAGAATGGAGCCTAGATAGGATTAAGGGTAGGAAGTGGTCAGGGGGGCCATAGGTAGGTAAGACAATGGAGGGCTAAGCCAGGTTAAGGGTAACAGAATTGGGAGATTTGGCATAGGCAATAATGAAAGGCCATTTGATAGTATTATAGTGCAAGTGAATGCCAGATATTTGGCCATGTAAACAGGGCTTTTCATTTTTGAGGTCCAGATCCAAAGAGCATGGTCTTTTCCTTTTCAGAGTACAG